CTCTTTGTGCTAGCCCGGGGATGGGGCTGCTTATGCAAATGAGCCCAGGTGCCCCCGAGGTGAACCTCGGGGCGGGCGCCGATTGGCGGGGGCGGGGCAGCCGCGGGCGCGGCCCCGCCCCCTGACCCGGGCGGGGCGGGGCGATCCCGGCCCCACCCCCTCGCGCTGCCTCCGCCGGCTCCTCCTCCCGCCGCTCCCCCTCCCGCGCGCCCCGCTTTGTGTCCCCGGCCTCCCGCGCGGGACGTACGGACGGACGGACGGAGAGGAGGAGGGCCGGCCCGAGCGTCGGCCGCTTCCCCAGCCCGGGGCCCTGGGTCCCGCGCCAGGTGGGGCGGGGGGGGGGGGGTGGGGTGGGCCGAGAGTCGGAGACCTCAGTTTCCCCGCCGGGCGTCCCTACCGGCTGCTTCCGCCGCTGCCTGGCCCCGGGGGGTGGGGGGAGACACAAGGAGGGGAAGAAGGAGCTGCTGGGGGGTGGGGCGTCGGCTTTCGCACCCCCAGCCCCAATTTGGGGCGGCCCGCACTCCTACAGCCGGGGTCCTCCGCGCCCCACCCCCCGCTCGTGCCTCGATTCCCCAGCCTGATGGTTTTGGTAAAGAGCGGGCAGCTGGGGCTCTGCCTTCGACGCCCCCCGCCCCCCGCCCCGGTTCTGCGCTGGCTTTTGCCTTTGGAAGCCCGTTGGTTTTGTTGAGGGGCTCCCCCCCGGGGGTGCAGCCGGGCGGGCGCCCGAGCCTCTCTGGGCCCTCTGGGGCTGTTCCCAAGTTGCTCGTTGGAGGAGGACTTGACCAGGACCCGGGACTCGCTCCCATCCTGGGGACTCTCCCAGCGACCTGGAAGGCGAAGAGGAGGAGGACGGCCTTTGTGGGCCTCTGCCTCGCCTGCTGAGCCTGGGGCTTTGCGTGTGTCCGTGGCCGGAGGGGGGCAAGCTCTGTCGCGGCGTCGTGGGGTGGAGGCTGGCCTCTGACCTTGGTTAACAGGTGGCCATTACGCATCCAAACGCTGCAGCCTTTGCAAACCCGCGCCTCTGCCTCTGAAATGGTTTAAGTGGCTCCCTGGGGATGTGTGTGCTCGGGGAAGCCAGCCGCTTTTCACGTTTGCTCTGTGATGTTGGGCCAAGCCTGTGCCTCTGGTGGGGGGCACAGTTGGGAAGGGGTGGCCCACACCTGCAGGAGAACTTGTTTTCTGATTTCCCAGCCCGGGAGGCCCTTCTGCCTCCTCCCACTCCCTGTGCTGCCTCTCCCACGGTAAATACTGTGCATTCTCTCCCCAGGCGGTTCTTTGGTCTCCATCCTGGGTTAGGCCTTCATTGCCCTTCCCTTTCAGTGGCTGAGGTGCAGAGAGGAAGGAGCTGAGGCTCCAGGGGGGACAGGCGACCCAGGCAAGCGCATCATTAGTAAGCTGCAGGCCTGGATCCCACCTGAAGACCATCAGCTCCCAACCCCTCAGTAGCTGGCAAAAGAAATGTGGGAGGCCCGGCTGAGGGAGGAAAAGCAGCAAAGGGCTGGACCCGTCCGGAGGAGGACGAACAAGAAGGAGCGAAGCCGCAGCTAGAAAGCGCCTTGGGCCGTAGCTACTGCAGCGGTCTGGTTCTCATGCTCTGGTTCAGTCTTTACGTCGTGGCCACGTTCCTCGGAATGTACAGCCCCGATCGTGGCATTCCGTTGCCTCCCGGGGGGCGGCCCAGGCTTCTGGCTTTAGTGCTGGTGGGGGTCCGAGGAGGTGGTCTGGAATCTCTGCCACTTACTGGCTGTGTGACCTTGACTAAATCCTTTCCCCTCTCAGGGCATCAAGTTCCTCTACGCCGACATGCCAGCTTTATGCTGGGTGACCGCTGAAGTCCTCCCTACCTCCATTTTCTGAGCCCCAGCCTTCTCCTTGGAAGCTTGCTCTTCCTTCCTACATGTCCCTTATGCTCCAGCTAAATCGGGATTACTCTGTTCCCTGAATAGCCCTTGTGCATCCTTTTCCTGCTTCCTTGTCTTCCTCCCTAGGAGGGAGTCTTTAGAGGCCCAGCTTCGAGGAGATCCTGGCCTCGGAATCCCCCCCCGTCCTTCCCTTCCTCGTCCCTCTCCTTGGGCATTCTCGTTCTTTGTGCCCCCCTCCCCCAATGGCGAGGCCTTTCTGCAGGTGACACAAGGCTTTGTGAGCTTTCATCCCTGTTGCTTTCCACTCCTGGCACTGGGGAGGTATCTTTGTTCGGCGGGACCCACGCGGTAGTGCCTGCTGTAGGTTTGCGGCCACGCCGGCCCCGGGTGTCCAGAACCCTCCTTGCTCACAGAGCGGACCTCTGATTTCCTCTTGGCTGGTGAGGTGCTGGCTTCAGAGTTTGCTCAGCCAGGCTTCTTTCCCTGAGGGTCGAATTCGGAGCCCTTCTTCAGGGCAGCTGCCAGCATGTTATTATTTTTTCCTTTTGTTTGATGCCTCCCCTGGGGCCCCAACATGAAAAAAATCCTCTTTCTCCAGTCCTGGGAGGGATAGCCCCAAGGTACGGACTCCCCCACCCCCCTGCACACACACACACACACACATATAGGCTTCCCTCTGAATTCTTTTTTCATAGATGCTCATTTATTTTTTTTTAATCAAAGATTTTTGTTAATCCTTTCACAGAAGTTGTAAAGGGCAATTATTGTGGGTGTCTGCCAAGGAAATTAATACAAATAAGATCTCTTGGCAGAACAGACAGCTATGCTGTCTGCATCTATGGCCCATCGAGGCTGTTTCTTAGGTGGCATGTCTGAGCAAGAACGAGGAAAGTGAGGCCCAGAGAAGACTTGTCTAAAGCCACGTGGTCCAGATTTGAACCCTGATCCTCTGAATCCGGATGAGTTTCTCTTTCTGCTCTGCTGCCCTCCAGAGAGCTTCACTGACTGCTTTCCAGTGGCCCAGGGGTCACAGGTTTATAGTGTCAAGAGATTTTGAGCTCAGAGGGCCATTGGCCATCTAGTTCAGCCCCCTTATTTTGCACAGTGGGAAGCTAAGGCCCAGGAAGGGAGAACTTTGAAAAGATCACAGAATGTTAGAGCTTAAAAAGGATCTGTGAATCCAATGCCCTCGTTTTATGTTATTTTTTTTTTAAATTTGATCTGCTTTCCCCCTTATTTTACAGTTGAGGAAACAGAGACCCAGAGAGAGAAAGGGGCTTGTCCAAGGTCAGGCAGGTATTTGGTGGAGATGGATCATTTATCTGAGACTGGGCAGCAGCTCTCCCACCTTAATCTAGTGCTCCTTCTGCTCCTTAGGGACTTTAGCTGACCTGGAAGCTTCCCTCCAGATCTGACATTTTAGAATAAAAGTTGCCAGCTGCCCATATACATACCACATAGATACTTCACGTATATCCATATATGTGAAAGGGTAAAAAAAAAAAAAAAAAACCCACAATAACAACAGAAAACAGGAAAGATCCCAAAAGAGAAAGTAGAGAACAAGTACCCTTCTAAAATATTACTATATTCCTTTTGCTTGCATGTAAGTCAAGTTTAAGAATATAGTCCTCTAGCACCCAGGGCCTCCTTTGGGCCGAAGCACTGCCTTCCATAGCGCTGCTCAGGCTGTGGCATCGATGGGCAAAAAAAAGAGGGGTGAGGGGGGGAACGAGAAAGGGAGAGGGGAGCTCCAAGAGGAGTGGGGTGTGTTTCTGTGGTAAGAAGAGCAATGAAGGCAGACAGGGCCTAAGTGGTCCCGAGGCCCCGGGGAGTGTGAAGAGGGCAGGGCAGAAGTGAGACTTGTAGACGTTGAATCCTCTTTGAAAGGGCGTGTGCTCTGCCCAGAGCCACCTTGGGGCTTGTCTCCTCCTTTTCTAAAGGGGGTGGGGGGACACCCCAGTCTGTCAGCCAGGAGACAGTGGCCTTCTCCAGGAACACCTTGGTTTTCACTTGGTTTTGGTTTTGTAGTTTTCCCCAGGTTGGGTTTCTTACAAATATGGAGATTTTCTGGAAAATTCACAACTCAGAATTCCAACGAAAGCCAGAAATTGGTCACTTAAGTAAACCAGGAAACGCTCATTTATGACTAGCACTCTGAACTGGAATGTAAAGTCCAGTCGGGTGGGGGAGGCATGACAGGGGAGGATTGGGCTGGGAGAGGTGGGGCTCAGTGCTGGCGGGGCCCCCCCTTTACGTTAGATCAGAGGTTCTTAACCTGGGGTCCATGGACTCATGGATATGCTGGGGGAGGGGACGCCATGAATTTGGATGGGGAAAAAATGCATCTTTATTTTCATTTAGCTCTAACTGTAATTTAGCGTTTCCTTTAGTCATTTAAAAACATTATTCTGAGAAGGGGTCTGTAGGTTCTAAGAGCGCCAGAGGGGACCACGACCCAAACAAGCTTAAGAAACCAAGTGGTGAGGTGGAGGGTGTGAGGCCAGCCACCCACCCTTTCTCATGGTGCTTCTGAGATTGAAAGACAAGAAAGCCTCTGTGAAAGAGGTGGGGAGACAAGGGATGGGGGATGGGGGATGGGGGATGAGGGATGGGGAGGCTTGTCTTCCTAGTCCCAAACTCACCTGGGGCTGGAAGATGGAAACTTCAGGGATCTCTGCTTCCATACCAGATGGAATGGGACCAGAATGAACTCTGCCCCTTTTATTGGGCACAGTGTCTGCCTGGGTCCTGGTGGGAGTCGTAAAGGAAGGGATTTGGCAAACCTCTGACCCGAAGGTACTTGTGGTCTGATACCGACAAGAGCCAGGAAGGAGCGACTGTTATGTGGGGGGGAAGGAGAGAAAGACAGAGAATGGAGCGGTGGAGAGACGAGGATGGAAGGGACAGACAGATGAAAAGAAGAGAGAAAAGGAGGGAAGGGAGAGTCATTGGAGAAGTGTCTGGCACAAAGGCCAGCCAAGGGGCCACAGTGAGCCAGCCTGGTATCCCGGGTAGGATTTGTTTGCTTGGCTTCAGGCTATGCAAGTGTGGCTTGCATTTCCGATATCCACAGGAAGGCATCATGGCTGTTTTAGGTGCCTCCCAGTCATCTGTCTCCAAAAGAGAAAGGGCATTTGTTCATCTAGTTTGGCTTTCCTCAGTCCCGGTTCGATTCCAAAACAGCTATGGGAAAGCCCAGGACTCAGTAGCTCAGGGGCCTTAAACAAGTCATGTAGCCTCTGAACCTCAGTTGACCCTCCCCACGTTTCCGTTTTTGAGAGTTGAGGGCGTTACGGTCCCCTTAGTCCCCAGGCGTTGGGGCGTCAGGGTCGTTGTTGATTCTGGACTAGAGGTCCAGCTCTCGTGGCCCACACTGCCACACCGTCTTTTGCGGCACACTCGTGCTGTGGCTGGCCTATCAGGTCCCCCACCTCTTACCTGGCCCTTTCTACCAGCCCCTT